AGTAAAAAGTGGGAGCAGGGGCTGGGGCATTGTTCAATGGTTAACAGCACTGGCTGCTTTTGGTTCCCAGCACCCACATGGCAGCTAACAACTCTCTGTAACTCCAGTTTCAATACCTGATGCCTGCTTCTGGCCTCCAAGGGCATTGCACACATGTGGTACACTTACATACATGCAGGCAAAACACTCATATTCATAAAAAATAAAAATAAATAAAAATTTAAAATTTAAATAAAGTTTAAAAAAAGAAGTGGGAGCAGGAGGTGAACAGGATGTGGGATGGGACTATGTAAGCTCAAGGCCTGCCCCCAGTGATCCACTTCCTCCAGTGAGAGTCCACCTCTTGAAGTTCCACAAGAGTCTAGAACAGACTGGGAACATGGGTACCAGTGTTCAAAGATATGGGTCTTTGGGGGACATTTCACATTCAAACCACAGCATTACTCAACAATAAAAATTTTTATAACATGGGGGCTAGAGAGATGGCTCAGTGGTTAAGAACACTGTTCTTGCAGAAGACCTGGATTTGAATCCCAGCATCCACATGGCAGCTAACAGCTGTCTGTAACTCTACTTCCAGGGGATCTGATGGTCTCTTCTGTCCTCTGTGGGCATTGCACGACATGGGTGCACTCACCTACATGTAGGCAATACACACATACAATAAAAAATAAAAATAAATAAAATATTAAAAAATTTTTATAACGGTGTTATGACTAGGCTGTCTAGCTTGGACTTCTCTTTCAGTAATGAGTGTGCTGACCGCATCACTAAAAAACATAAAAAGTATGTCTTATGTAAATAAGGGTTTATTTAACTGAAACAGTAAGCCTGAGGTAGTGCAGTGCAGAACTGATTCTGCACTTCTACCTTGCCATCAGAAGCCCACACGCTTTTTACATCTGTGCTTTGCCATCATTATTGTGCTGACCTTGCTTTCTACTTGTTGCCTGAAGGTTGCCATGTGACTGCTACTTATCTAGGTCTTATGACTGTGCTCTAGGCAGAAAAAAGAAGAGAACCAGAGATTGGCTTTTCAGACCCATGGTATGTCTTTTTGGCCAGAAGGGTGTCGTATATGGCTTTGTTCAGCTGCAGAAGAGCTGGGGATGAAATGTTTTGCTTTTCACTATCTCTTTGTTAGAAATAGGCAAAGGGAAAAAAGAGAAATGGAAAAATCCAAGTTGACACTTAGATTATTCTCTCTCTCTCTCTTTTGGTATTTTTGAGACAGGGTCTCCCTGTAGCCCCAGCTGGCCTAGAATGAGTTCTGTAGACCAGGCTGGCCTTGATCTCACAGAGATCAGCCTGTCTCTGCCTCTCAAGTGCTGGGATTAAAGGCATGCATCACCATGCCTGGCTTTATTCTTTTATCCCTTACTCTATAAGCCACCAAATATCTATGAATTGAAAAAATTCTCCCATATTTAAATGCTGGGTGTTGCTGACCACAAACTTGTAGATAATGGGGCTTTTACAAATGAGTGTCATTTAACATCATTTAGGCTTTTAGAACTGTTTCTTAGTTTTGTTGACTTCTCCTTTACTAATTATTGCAAATCTTTAGCCTTAATTGTCTTCTGCAAGTCTACTCAGCTCCCTCACTCTCAACAGGCTGAGAGTTTTGAGACCCTTACACAGGAAATTCCTCAATGTTTTATGCCCCATTCATTTTCCCTTTCATGTTTCCCTTCAGTTTAGAGACTAGACCCTACTATTGTGGTTTTTCCTTCATTCACACCAATTATGCTGAAACTGTTATATGTTAATTTCACTTATTGCGTCCCAACATTTGGTGTTTAGTAGCAGGCACACCGTACATACTAGCTGTGATTTACCAAATCCTCTGTGTAGAGCTTCACTACACTAATTTTTTTCTTTCTTATAAATATTTTTCTTCTCCTTTTTGCACCTCTATCTCTTAGTCTATCAACTTACTCAAACTTGTATTTGTAATGTAAAAAATAAAAAGACAAATACCCAGACTTAAATCTTTTATTTTCTCGTACATGCATTCACCTCCTTGTTAATATTTAATTTTCTTTTGAGATAGGAGTTTATTCTCTGTTGACCTAAGCATCTCAAAAAAGTATCTGCAATTTCAATTTCTACTTCCATTTTTTTTTATGTCATTTCTCAAGTCATTGCTTTCCTTCTTCAATGTGAGAGGAAAACCCCTGCTGGCTTCCTCTTCACCAAACTCATATATTAACTATTTAAATTTTCTGGAGGACTTACACACTTTTTATTTCTTGGAACTTTGCCCTTCTGCAAATTTTGTGAAGTTAGGCTCTTCTAGTTCCCCTAACTGTTACCAGACCTGGCTTGGTCTCTTGGCCTGTGCACAACCTCTTTCTTATACAATACAGGACCAGCTGTCCAGGGGTGGCACCACCTACTGTGGGCTGGGCCCTCCCACATAACTCAACAATCAAGAAAATGCCCCACAGACATAGCCACAGACTAGTCCAGTGAAGGCAATTCCCCAGTTGAGGCTCCCTCAACCCAGGTGTGTCAAGTTGACAACAGAAGCTATCCACCACAACTGACCCCTTATCAACTTGGCACACAAATATATCATTATTAAACCATAAGCTTTCCATTTCTTGTCTCCAAGATATGATGTTAACATTAATATCACTACATAAGACAGTACAACTTTAAAAGTCCCACAGTCCTTAAAAAAGTCAAACACTTTAATAGTTCAAAGTCTCTTTTAAAAGTCTTTTAACTGTGGGCTCCTGTAAAATCCAAAACAAATACTGTCTTATTTCAAAAGGAAGAATTGGGCACACCTAAACAAAACCCGAGTCTGGCAAATAGCTCAAGGCTGGACATCTGGGATTTACTCATCTTCTGGGCTCCAAAGGGTTTTGACAACTCCACTTCTCTGGCTCTGCCATCCACAGTACACACAGCTCATCTTGCAGGTCCAGGTCAGCTCCATTCCACACCTGCTGTTGCCCTTGGTGATCGTCTCATGGTCTTGTCTCTTCCAAAAAGCTGGGGTCTCCACTGAAACTGAGGTTGCACCTTCACCAATGGCCTCTTCTTGCCTCTTGGAGTGTAAAGCCTCAGATTCTCTCTGTGACCCCTTCAGTTCTGGAAGTATTTACTGCAACTGAGGCTACACTTTCACTAATGTCCTTTTCTGGCCTTTCAGGTGCCAAGTCTCAACTGCTTTCTGTGACCCCTTCATGATTTCAATACCAGAACCATGCAGGAGACTCTTACACACTACCAAGTCCTGCTTCCAGCTTGACATAGAGGCTGGGGGCCCCTCTGGACCATAGCTTCTGTGTACTAACCCTGAGGAAAGACTTTCCAGAAAATTTTGCCTTGATGATGCTGGTCTCTTGTCACTCACAGCTGATTTTTCAGCCCCCGCTGACCAGCATCAATTGTCCCAGAAAAGCACAAAAGGTTTCACTTTCAAAGATTCTTAATTCAGCACAAATAGCCACAATAAGAGTCTTTGCCTTCCTTTGAATCTTCACAAGCCAGGCCTTCATTGTCTAAACCTCTTTCAGTAGAACTGCTCCAAGCTCCACAGCAACAGCGCTAAGCCCTCAATGCCTTTTTCCAACCCAAAGTTCCAAATGCTTCCACAGTCTTCCCCAAAACACCTGATCAGGGTCTGTCACAGCAATACCCCACTCCTGGTACCAATTTCTGTTCTAGTTTGCTTCTCTATGGCTGTGACAAGCCACTCTGACCAATACTAACTTGGGGAGGAAAAGGTTTATTTGGCTTACATCTCCCGAGACACAGTTCATCACTGAACTGTGATGGGAGCCCAAAGTAGGAACTCAGGGCAGGAACCTGGAGACAGGAGCTGAAGCACAGGCCATGGAGGAACACTGCTTACTGGCTTGGTCCCTTGGCCTGTGCTCAACTTGGTTTCTTATACAATACAGGACCACCTGCCCAGGAATGGCACCACCTACTCTGGGCTGGGCCCTCCTACATCACTCAACAATCAAGAAAATACCAGACAGACATGACAGTGGAGGTATTTCCCCAGTTGAGGCTCCCTCAACCCAGGTGTGTCCAGCACAAACCATAATGTGAAAAAAATTTTCCTCTCTTAGAGGAGCTGAAAGATCAGGGAAGCTAAATAGAGAACAGGGAAAGGGATGCTGAGTATGGGGATGTGCCATACCATTCAGGGCCATGGAAATTGGCTTTCATACTGAGTGGAGAAGCCTGCAGAGTTGAGCAGGCAAGTGAAGAATCTGATCTATACTAAGAGCATTGTGCTGTTGCCTTCTTGTGAACAATGGGTTGTAGGGAGATAAGAGCAAAATTAGGAGATACATTCGAAGTTATTGCAGTACGTCAGGTTCCAGGTGGTGAGCATTGGATAAGATGATGGTCAATAAGTTAGTAAGAAATGGCTAGATCTAAGATACATTTTGGAGCTACAGTCCAAAGGGTTTGGTGATAGAGAAGTTGTAGTAAGTGATGGCTTAGATTCCTGGCTTGAGCAATGGAGCTGATGTACTACCATTCTCATCTTTTGGTCTATGAGACTAAAACTCCAAGAGCTTTGAAAGCATCCCAAGAGGCATATCTAGTAAATGACATATCAGGGTATGAATGTAGTCCCATCTAACTCCAGACACTACACACCTAATGAGAACAGTGTGCTCTCTCTCCAATGAATCACATCCTGCTACTTTTTAAATGGAGAGGAATGATTTACCTGCTAATCATAACTCTGATCATTTAGTTATGAAAGAGAACGCAACACAGATGTGTTATCCAAAGCAGAATTTTTCCTGGAGTGGATTGGAAAGCATTATTTGCATTATATGCTGGGGATGTTGCTACTCCTGAGATGCCTGACCTACATAGTGAAGACCAAGTCTGAAGTGATAGAATCCTAGATATCCGGATCCTGTTGCCAGTAGAAAACCATGTTTTCTTTCTGTGTTCTCTTCAATGGGGTCAGCAGATGTGTGGTTCCTGAATTTCTTTAAAGTCTTTCAGCAACTTACTTGATGTTGTTAAGAGCAGTTGCCCTGGGACAAATAGGCTTGCTCTATGAAAAAAAAGGGAAATGAAGTAGGTTAAAAACCGGAGTCATAGTCCACTCCTCATAGCTGCAGAGAGGGCAGGATAGCCCTGATGATCAGACAGTAGAGACATTGATGGCATGAGGATTATGCTAAAAAAACATGTAGATTGATTGTAATAAATAACAAATTTATTTATTTATTAATTTAGTGTGCATGTGCATATGCCACAGCACACATGTGGAGGTCAGGGACAACTTGCAGGAGTTGGTTCTCTCCTCCTACCATGTGGGTCCTGGGGATTGAACTCAGGTCATCAGGCTTGGCAACAAGTGCTTTTACCCACTGAGCCATCTTGCTGGCTTCAAAATACTTAGATACATTTTTGTGATGCTCTGAGGCTTTATCCTACTGTTTTTTGGAGCACCTGCAAAACGACCTTTTTATTTCATTTGAAAAAAATCACACATTTGAGCAAAGTCCTATACAAGAATACAGGGGTTTAGGAGATGGCTCCGTGAGTAAGAGTGCTTGCTGTGTAAGCATCAGGATCTGAGTTCAAATCCTTAGCACTCGGGCAAAAAATTAGCAGTCTGTATGTGCCTGTACCCTAGCACATTAAGATGCAGAGATAGGAAGGTTGCTGGGCTTGCTAGCAACCTAGCTTCAGGTTCAGAGAGATACCCTGTCTTAAGAAGATGAAGTGGAGAACAATAGAGCAGGGCACCCAACATCTTCCCCATCTATATATGTACATGTATGTGTGCCACACACATACACACCACACACACATACACACACACAAATTCACACATACATACACTAAAAGAATATAAGACCATCAAGTGGTCATGGGTTTACCTCTCTGGAGTGATTAATTATGGAGTAAATTGTCACAGAATCATTTTTTATATATGTTGGGTTGTCCATTCTCTGTAAAAAACAAAAGAGTCATGTGCATTAGGCTCACAGAGAGACAAAGGGGTCCATGCATAGGTATATTCTTGGGAATGGCAGTGTGACAAAAGGACCACTAAAGCCCTCTGGAAGGCTAGAGAATGTTTAGCAAGAGGAACTGGAGACCAGGCTCTAGTAGTTCAGAACTGTGAGGTTGTAGTGGCATTTCCTGAGAAACAGAAAAGCAACCAGATAGAAGAGCAAGACCCCAGCAAACCAAAGGTCTTAACCACAGAGTGACAGAAAAGGTGGCTTTCTGTGAAAGGAGGGAAACATGCTTATCCTGCATCTGATTTTACACTTGTCTTTGTTTTTTAAAAAATATTTTATTTATTATTTTTATTTTATGTGGATGAGTGTATTGCCTGCATGTATGTAAGTGCATCTGTGTCATGCACTGCCCACGGAGGTCAGAAGAGGGCACTGGATCCCCTGGAACTGAAGTTATAGATGGTTGTTAGCCACCATGTGGGTGCTGGGAACCAAACCTGAATCCTCTGCGATAGGAGACAGTGCTCTTAACCACTGAGCCGTCTCTGCAGCCCCTCTCCCTCTGCTTTTAAGAAGTTATATAGCAGATGGTTATTGTAGTATATCTTTTGTCTCAAGTTTATACTGAGCTGGCCACTTTGCCTACTGCACTTATCCATATTATTCTAATGGTCTAGTCACTATGTATTGCAGTCTCTCAAGCATCAGGCACCAGCAGAGTAGGAACACTGGTTAAGAATGGCTCTGTCTGGAATATACAGTGCAGTAGTAACAACAGAAGTCCCCGGGGTCCTTGATGACCTTGTTCATGCATTTCGATAGTTTAAATTAATGAAGGAATATTTAGAGAATTATTAAGAGCTCAGAAACTCTCCAAAGTACCTTTTTATTTGTTTATTTGCTAAAGAAGTCAACAAATTGGCTGAAGATGAATGTTTTAGGTTTGTTGGAGAATGATTCAGCATGCCTTCAACAGGAATTGGGAATGGTAATTGAATAAGTGGGAGTGCCCCTTACTGTCCTTTCTTCAAGGAACCTGCTCCACAAATGTCTATGATGGGCTGGCCCAGAGGGTTTCCTTGGGGAATCCAAGACTGCTAGCTGGTCCATTGCTTCTGTTATTTCAAGAATGCCACGTTTTCTTGGCTTATTTTTCAGAAGCCATGAGAACTGGACTCTCAGTCTGTCTAGTGTCATTTAGAAAAGTGCTACCACAGTTGTCTTATTTAGGGGCAGAGGGTAAAGAGGAGCGACAGATGAGTTCCTGATGCTTCACCAAGGCCATCCTGTCACGTGGGAGTTCTCATTGCTTTAGTTCCCTCTGTTATGGAGGAGGGGTTGCAAATTCCAGCCCCGCTCCTCTTCTATTAAGAGACTTCTCTGAACTCTCCTAGCACCCCCTACTCTCAGGATGAGAAGTCTCCAGCTATGGGATTATTAGCTTTGGAAACTCAAGTTTAGTGAGCTCTGATCTATTCAATTACTTATTGAGTGTCATGATAAGTTATGGGAGAAGAGAGAGGAAGATCTAATTTGCATTTTCAAGCAAGTTGTAGCTACCCTGAAGGAACAGGCACCTACTGGTACATTGAGCAGTCAGAGAACAGTGGAAAGCAAAGTAAGAATAAACATTCCATCAGGGGCAGCAGTGGCAGGCACGGGGATGGTCTTACACGTAATTTTTCAGCCTTGTCATTGCTTTCTCCAGTAGTTAATGTTTTGGATCAATCAGATGATTGTAGTGACAAACTTGTTGGCAATTACAACAACAGTAATGGAGTACAAGGCTGAAAGGACTCACCTGGTTTGGATGAGTGACCTGTGCATACACAGTGCTCCCTGGAGAGCCTAGGGTGTACTCTGTGTTCTGTGAGGAAGCTATTGTTAACACAAAAAGGCACTGTTAGTGGTGAGACTCTGAAGCAGCTCTTTGCAGGATCTTGCTTTTCCCCAGAGCACTTTTATCCTCATGAAAGAAGTTGTTTCAAGATTGCCCTTCTTCAGGAACCAGGGATTTTTGACAGTCTTTGGAGTTCTGGGTTGAACCACAACTACCTCAGTCATGTGGTCTATTTATGACCTCATTTCTTTGGTGGGAGGATGGTGGTCTTAGGACGCAGAGCTTTAGCAGTTCCCTTATGCTTAATGCATGAAGGACTAAATACCACTACTCATGGAATTGCTGGATACATGGTTTTCACAGACCCTTAACATGGATTTGATTATTTTAGAGATGAAGAACTGCAGGCTCAAAGAGCTCAATTGACTTGTACAAAGTTATTTAAGAAGCTACCAATGGGACAGTAACTTGAATGCATGCTTTCTGACTAGATCTCATGTCTTCTTCCCCAAAATGGTATCTTAAAATTGTCACCCATGGGATGAGACTCAAAGCCAATCAGAGTTCAGAGTCTATGTTCACATCTCTTTATCACACTTTCTTTTTCAACAATGTCCATCCACTGTCTAAACCTTGGCCTAACAGCAGTGATACAGTCACACAGTTTGGTTTTGAGTGTTTAATGTCCAAGTTCTATCTCTACCCTAAACCGGGATGCTAGGTGACAATGGACAGTCAATGAACTCTTTCACTGGTACTTATTTTCTCCATCAGAAGGGAGGGGAGTGGTTTTGATCCTGCTATAGGAAACTGAGATCTCTCATATGCTGGGGAGGGACTCTACACGTCTCATGGTTACAAGTCATGCCCTCTTATTCCATGGGGTCCATCTGAATAGTGACATTCTGACTCTCTCCTCATTTTCTGGACAGCCTTCTCTTTCAATGATCCCTTCCTGTCTGCTTTAAGTTTGGCAGTTAAGAGCCTGGATGCTTACCAAGATGCTGGGTAGCCAAAGAAAGAGAACCTGGAAAATAAAAACAGGAAGCTGTAATGTGTGACTTCAGTGAGAGAGGCCTTCTTCCCACCTCTCCTAATAGGTGTCTTTCTAGAGGACGTGGGGGACAGGCCTAAAATGAAGGGTAGGTGGGCGGTGGAGCCTGAGGCAGGGTCCTGCTTTTCCTAGTAGGATACCTCTCTCATGATATTATGAGGTGAAAGGTCACATCTTAGGGGTTGTTAGTGGGCTAGCTGAGCCAAGGTTTGTGTCCTCCCTTGAGCAGAGGCCCTAGACTCTACACACCTGCATTCCTGGAGGAGATACAAGAAGGCAGAAAGCAAACCTACCTGTTCTTTTCTTCCAAGCATATATGAATACTAAAATGATTATACCAATCGAAACTATAATTATAGTCCATATATTATCCCAGTGTAGATTTTCCTTAGGAAAAACATCTGAAAAGAGAAAAAAAGAAGTGGAACTTTTATTTTATTGGTTTTCGTTAAGACATGGTTTTCCTGTAGTCCCAGCTGGAATTTGCTATGTAGACTTGGCTGGTGTCTGGGATTAAAGGTGTGCGCCCCCATGCCCGACTGTGTGGTAAACTTCTTGAGACATATCAAATGAGTCCCAGAGTGTTTGTCTCGGCCCTGTCCCCTCACCTCAAGTAAATTCTGGACCGCCTGCAGGGGCTGCGTGTCACCATCTGTGCCCAGAGTCTGGGGCTCTGGCAGGTTTCTGGGGAGCGGAAAGCCCTTGTGGCAGCAGGGTGGGTAGGGTCTGGTAGAAAGAGGGAAAGCAATCCTGCCTTGGGCCTTTGCTCTTGGTGGAGGACTTGGAGAAGGGAAAGAGGAAGGAGAAACCTTTGGGGTTAATGAGAAGCACAGAGCTCCAGAGGCTACCTATCTCTTCCAGAAACAGTTTGGCTCCTCTGACCCCCCAGTGTCTGGGAAATTATAGAGTGCATACATTCAGGCTACAATACTTCACAGTTGGTTAAGGCTTTCACAAAGACCTGAGGTAAGCATTACCTTTGCAGAGACTCTGGGCAGAGACAGTGACAGACAAATTGCTGACAGAATTCTCAGCTATGCAGGTGTAATTCAGATCACTGGAATTCGTGGGGTCCCAAGAGACAGTAAGGTTTGATTCACTTAGAGAGATGTTTCCTGAGGCCAGCCATCCAAATGACTCAGCACACTTTAGATTCTCCACAGTGCAGACCAAGTGGATTTCACAGGTCCCCTTCTCAGACAGTTGAATATGATTGCTAACTTGTAAATTACTCAGTCGTTCTGTATGTAAAGAAAAAAACCTTGGTGAAGGACACGTGATTTTGTTTACTAATCTGTGAAAAATATCCTTCATCTCCATGTCTTGTGTGCGTATTTGTGTATACGCACGTATGTGTACAGGTGCTTGTGCACATATATGTGGAGGCCAGAGGTCCATGTTAGGAGTGTCTTCTGTTTTCCTCTGTCATTCTCCACCTTACTTTTTGAGATATCATTTCTCACTAATATGGAGCTCACTGATTGGGCAAGAAGCTCTTCTGTCTCTGCCTCCCCAGTGCTAGCATTACAGATGTGTGCCATCACACCTGGCTTTTTGTGTGGGTGCTAGGGATAGAACTTAGCTCTATGCTTTCAAGGCAGGTATTTTAGCAACTGAGCCATTTCTTCAGCCCTCCCTCTGTTTTTGTATTCCACCTCTGCTGTATTCTGTGGTCTGTTTACCCTGTAAAAGAGTCTGCTTGGGTTGCCTAGTTGATAGTAGCAAGGTCTGAGGTGGCCAAATGAAAAGGACATCAGTATGAGACAGAGAGTAGCCACTGGGGAAAATGGAAGGGAGAGACTGCACTTGTCACTAACAGAGTTCTTTGTGACTGGTCATTTTACCTTTCTGCACTTTGGATTATTCCTAGGGTCTCTTCTAGTCCTTGGACACTGCTCTTTGTAAAGACAATCTGTAGGTGCCATATCTTATCCCAAGTCCATGACTGACCTTAAAAATATCAGTCTTTTGGGGCTGGAGAGATGGCTCAGCAGTTGAGCATTGGCTGTTCTTGCAGAGGACCTGGGTTCAGTTCCCAGCATCCACATGGCAGATAACAACTGTCTCTAACTCCAGTTCTAGGGGATCTAATGCCGTCTTCTGGCCTCTGCAGGGTACACAAGTTGGTTCACTTATATATATGCAGGCATAACACTCATGTATATAAAAAAAAGTTGTTTTCTTAAATTTCTCCCATTTAATGATTATAAAACTGTCTACTTGACATTTCTACTGGGATATATAACACATTCAACATACTTAAAAGGCTACTAGTTTTCTTATCCTAAATTGCTCAATCTGCATTCTTCCTTATCTTATTAAAGACAACAGCATGATTTCACTTACTCGGGCTGCAAGTCCACTTCATCCCTGACTAATTTTTTTCTAGCATTTTATACATCACATCAGGAAAACCTGGTCATTTTATCCTTACTATATATCCAGAACCCTATCCCATATCACTACCTCCATTAGTAATGGGCCAATCCAGCACCAACTTTTGCATGGATTATTCCAGTGACTTCTCAATTGACCCATTGGCTTCTTAACAGAGGAACCAAAGGGACCCTTTAAACAGGTAAGTCAAATCATCACTTCCTTGAAAAACTCTCTATGGTCAAGCTCACTGATAGTAGAGGCCAAAGACTCAGTGCCTTCCAGGATGCAGCCCCATATTTCCCTTCCGACCTCATTTCCAATGACTCCCTTTCACTCTGTTCATTGGTGTTCAGTGTTCTTGATGGATGTTCTTTGTGCACAGAGGAGTCTTGTTGCATGTTCTTGTTGGATCTTTCTCCAGATATCTACATGGCTCATTTTCTCAACTCCAATAGATCTTGGCTCAAATGCCATGCTTTTAAGGAGGCCTATTCTGATCACTCCCTCTAAAATTGATCATTTGGGCCTCGTGTATAGCTCAATGATAGAGTACTTGTCTAGCATGCTCAAGGCCCTGGTTTTGGTCCTTAGTACATCTCCTTGCCCTAAATTGACTCCTGCTCCCTGACATTCCTGTTGTGTCTTGGCCTGACCTCATGCCTTTCTTCCCTAGAACTCATGGCTTTTTTTAACAGTATGTACTGTAAGCTCTGTGAAGGCAAGGATCTTTGTTTTGCTCACTAGTGTATTCCAGTTGCACAACAGAGTGCCTTGTCCATTATCTATGGCAAGAAATATTATTATTCAATAAATAAACAACATGTCTTCAATATCCAATTCTTGTCAGTTACTCCCAATTAATCAGCACAGGTCTTATGAGATCAAATTTTTGTCATCCTTATTTTAGCATACACAGAATAATTGGTCAGTGTTTGAGAAAGAAAACTTAATAGATTTCATCCTTTGAAATTCCTTTGCAGTAATGAGAGCAGGTTGGGGTTCATCTTTGTATATGTGTCTTTGAAGGGAAGGTTTGCCAAGCAGCCCTGAATGTGGATGGACAATAAGTCCCAGGAGCTTGGTTGTTGTAGAAGTCATGCTTGATCTTTTCAGCAGTTTCAGAAGAATGCTGTCTCAGCAAATGTGATGGAGCCTGGCATATGGCATCTGTTCTCACACTCTCCACTGTATGTCTCTCATTTCTCTTCAGGAATCTGGTAGTGTCCCCATGATCATGGATCAGCCAGGGTAATTCTGCCTATAGCGGCTTGTATGATGGCACTCCTAAGGATATATCCATGTCCTAATTCCTATAACCTGTATTTCCTTATTTGGTTAAAAGGTCTTTGCAGCCGGGGGTGGTGGTGCATGTCTTAATCCCAGCACTTGGGAGGCAGAGGCAGGAACCCTGTGAGTTCAAGGCCAGCCTGGTCTACATAGTAAGTTCCAGGACAGCTGGGGCTACAGGGAGACCCTGTCTCAAAAAGACCAAAAAAAAAAAGGTCCTTGTAAAAGAATTAAGGTAGATGAGGAGGTCACCCTGGGTTATCCAACGACAAGTGTCCTTATAGGAGAGAAGCAGAGGAGCATTTGAGAGAGAAGAAGAGAAAACAGAGAAGAGGTAGAGGCTGACAGAAGGTAGAGATGGGAATGATGCAGTCACAGCCAAGGAACAGCAAGGAATGTGGCAACAACTAGAAGCAGAGAGGCTGTGAACAGCTAGTCTTCTGGGGCCTCCAAGGACAGGGCAGCACTGCCCATACTTGGAACTTTGAAAGAATAGATTTCTATTGTTTAGGCCACGAAACTTGTTTTGACAGCCTCATGAAACAAATATGTTGTCCTGAGGCCACCTTCCCCTTTTTGTGAGATTTCCTGCTCAGAAATTTTCTAGACATCCTCCCCTGACCCCTATCACATTTACTTATTTTGTGTCATGTTCTTTCAATGCCATGACTTTGACTAATGTAGCATGGTAAATTCATCATATATTCAGGGGATAATAAAGGTTAATGTGCAACCTATTTATGAGGACATTTTAACAGTGCCTTAAAAATGTTTGTATCTTAAACCAAAGGACTCTAAGTGAATTTTAGACTTTGTAGACTCTTTGGTGGATAGGAATCCACCTGACAGAATCTCGGGATCTTTAAAACTGTCTAGTCTGGTGACCAATTTATATATTTATTGTTTATTAAAATTTAAATTGTATTTGTTTAACTCATTTCTTTGTCTCTCTGTCTCTGTCTCTGTCTCTCTCTCTCTTTCTCTCTGTCTCTCTGTCTCTCTCTGTGTGTAGAGGTGCCATGTACAAGTCAGAGGACAATTCCAGGAGTTGGTTCTCTGCTTCAACCATGTAGGTCCTGGATATCAAACTCAAGTCATCAGTCTTGGGGGCAAGCACCTTTATCTATGGGGCCATCTAACTGACCTCTGGTGGCCAATTTAATGTTTGAATTGCCTGCAAAATATATCTGCTAAGTAATTAGGTCATTACAGTCTCCATAATTTTGTGTTGAACACATTTTCACTCTTTAATCTTAGAGAGGCAGATTTATTTATTTGAGACAGTTTGGCTATGTAGCCTATGCTGGCCTTCAACTCCTGCTCCTGCCTCAGTTTCTCAAGTGTGGGAGTTACAGATGTGTTACACCAGCCCAGTTAGAAAGGCAGATTTTTTACTAATGATCAACATGAACCATTTGGAGAAAATACTGTTAGAAATTAAATAATCTTGACAGAAAAGAGTTTTCTATTAATCGGCTCACCTAAGTAGACCATGCTATTGGGTCAAGCTAGCCTTTATGTAAAGTGAGGCATTGTGGCAGGCCAGTTATGTGGGAAGTACTGCCATTTACCATCTCTGTGACCTCAACTGAGGCTGTGCCTTGGGCGTAGGATTGTATATACCTCATGGAGCTTTTGTAAGGACTGTGTGATACAGACCTCTAATGTACATGTTAGTAATATTAGGTATTTCACGTCCATTAATTCTACATTTCTTGTTGAAAGGGAACATTTTATTGTATGAGTGAGATGATTTTGGGTGGAGAGTCGCAAGACTTTGTTTCTGTTTCAGCTCTGCTGCTATTTGGCTTGTGCAATGTGGTTGACTTGCTTTACTTCTGTTTCCCATTGTGACTCTGAATGCCATCCTCCTTACCACTAGACTACAGTGTATGCATAAGATTAGAATATGTGATTTGAAATTTTTAGTTTATACATAATTAAATGCCATTGGACTCACTTAAGACCCTCAGAACATAACTGGAGACCTCCATTTCAGAGCTCTTTAGGGTTATCTGGGCGGTATAAAATCCACTGTCTGCCATCGTCAGGTTGTTGAATTGCAAGGAGTAGGACTGGGTGACATTCAGTCGTGTTTTCCTCTCTGGATTGGCTGTTATGATTTGTGGAATTTTAAACTCATTTATGTTTATGACGATGATTGCAATGGCAGGTGATGCTTCTGGATGGTAGTGCCAGATGATGAGATTGACCTCCTTTCTAGCAGAAAGCTCCAGGGGAAGAATTACTGACTCTCCTAGAACACCATTTACCACAAACAGAGTTGAGTTGCTTTGTGATTCCATCTTCCCTGTAAACACAAAAGAAGGCTGTAAAACTGTCCCTGGCAACCCCCCTTCCATACCTGTACTCTTTCCCTTAATTCTGTCAGTTTCTTTAAGCTCATTAAAAAAATCTCAGAGATGTGGTGAGTTTAAAAAAGGTTAGAATAGCTGGAGAGATGGCTCAGCAGTTAAGAGCACTGACTGCTCTTGAAAAGGACCCAGGTTGGTTCCCAGCATCCACATCGTAGCTAATAACCATCCATAACACCAGTTCCAGGATCTGATGCCCTCTTCTGGCCTCAGCAGGCATTGCACACATGTGATGTACTTACATACATGCAGATAAAATACTCATACACATGTAATTTAAATAATAAATAAATAAATAAGTAAATCTTTTAAAAGGAAACTGGGGAGGTGGATCAGTGGTTTACAGCACCAGCTGCTCTTGCAGAGGACCTAGATTCAGTTCCTAACACCTATATGGTAACTAACAACTGTCCTTAACTCCAATTCCAGGTGATACAGTGCCCTCTTCTGATCTCTGAGGGCACTGCATGCATGGGTACACTTACATACACACAGGCAAAACACTGATACACAAAAACAAATTTAGAAAAGGGTCAGAAAGTCCGGCATGGTGGCACACACCTTTAATCCCAGTACTTGGGAGGCAGAGGCAGGTGGATCTTTGTAAGTTTGAGGTCAGCCTGATCTATATAGTGAGTTCCAGGCCAGCTGGGGCTAGAGAGAGACCCTACCTCAAAAAAAAAAAAAAAAAAAAAAAAAAAAAAAGAAGTGTTAGTATGAACAATTTATACTCTCAGTGGCTCTACCTCCAGCAAAATGTCTTCTGGTTTGGTTAATCGGCAGTTGGTCTGGTTAGATGATCCTGACCCAGAATCTGCTTCTACCCTGGTGATCTCAACCTTGGAAAATTTTGAGCATCAGGCTGTGAGGGTCAAGGAATTATATCAGCTCTTTGGCACAGACTCCCAAACCTGCAAATCTTTGCTGATGTGATATAATCACCGCCAGGCATTTACAATGACCTAATGTCTGTCCATGTATCATGCTTGTGCAATTTAGGGAACAAATGAAAGGAATTTACTACATATATGGTTCTTCCTGGGCATTATTTCATTTGATGTTGATGACAGCCTTTTGAGGCAAATAAGAGGGATATTATATCTGTTTATGGGTAAAAGGACCAAAACAATGAGAGTCTAACTTTCTCTTGTACAGCTAAAGAAGGGCAGAGTCAGAATTCAAACCCAAGTCTTTAAATATTATTTTATTTATTTTTATTTTATATGTATGAATATGCTACTTGCATGTATGTAAGTGCACCTGTGTCATGCAATGCCTGTGGAGGTCAGAAGAGGATGTCAGATCCTGTGGAACTGGAGTTACAGATGGTTGTTAGCTACCACGTCGGTGCTGGGAACTGAACCCAGTTCTTCTGTAAGAGCAGCCAGTGCTCTTAACTGCTGAGCCATCTCTCCAGCCCTGCAGGTCTTTTTATAACAACTATTTTGACAGAATTAAAGATAATAAAAGATATCTTTTTCTTCTTTCTAAAAGATTATAGTCTGGTAGTTGAGGAGATATAACTGATAAATATAAAAATAAATATAATTTCATAGTAATACAGAATTGTTGGGGAACCCTGCTGCTAGGGTTATAGTCCTCCATGTCTGGATAGCTCTAAGGGGCTCCCCTTCTCAGCAGGGGGCCTTCTGTTCTCTGCCTGACTTACCTGGAAAGTGCTGCCAAGCACAGATGCCTGACCTTATTTGGAACATCCTTTGGCATAGTTACCTGGAGTAAAAACTACCCCCAGGATTTTTCTATGTGATAATCAGGCATTGCCTACTGCCACATGTAAATAAAGCATACTATGAGCACCTATCAGCTGAGGCATTGGCTACTGTCTCCACACTATATTTTCCCTAAACCCAATGAATAAATGGAGCTGTTTCGCTGAATCTGGAGCTGTTTCACTGAGTCTGGAGCTGTTTGTATCACTGAATATGCCTCCCCGGAAGGGCTTTCTTCTGTTAGTGCTCACTGGCCATCCTGACCCCGTTTGTCTCTTCTGCTCCCTTTGTCCTCGTGGAGTGGTGGCCAACGACCCATGAGGAGAGGGAGAGACCCCACACAGAATGGCTGAATTATTTTTATTTTAAATTTATTTATTTAATATGTTTTTATTATTTGAGAATTTCATATATGTATATCATCCTCTGAGAGCCTACCAGGGACCACACCCCTAAAGAGAATGGACTCTCCTTCCCCTAGCAGCCCTCGACTGTTAATAGCTCCTCCGCTGGGGGTGAGGAGAGTTGCCTGTGTTCCTCCTTAATCCGTGCTGGAATGTTGACTAGTTTGAGCTTGTGTAGGCAACCATGGCTGCTAGAAGTTCATGAATGCTATGATCCTATTGTGTTCAGAAAACACTGCTCCCTGCCAGTCTTCCTTGACCGCTCTTATAATTGCTCTGTTCCCTCTTCCGGAATGTTTCACTTGAGAATGACTGCATTTTTATGAGCCTATTTGAGAATCATAGTGTTTGAGCAAAAAGCATGAAATGTTTGCAGTTCTTAAAGTGGATGCTTCCTTAGTGTCAATGCCAAATTCTTAGCACTTGTCATGCCATTTTCTAGTCCTCTGCTTACTTGTCTAACTGACCATGTTTGGATTATCCTTAGGTACCAGCACTCACCACTTATTACTTTGCCTTGTGCCTGACATGTGGTAGGATCTGTGGAAATGTTTGACTGGGTCAGTGAATTACTGGGTCTCCATAACTGTGACTTCAACCTTCTTGGGGTCTCTTATTTCTCAGGAAAAAGCTGTGTGTGTGTGTGTGTGTGTGTGTGTGTGTGTGTGTGCGCGTGCGCGTAGTCCTGAAACTTTTCTCAGCTCCTAAATGAGCTTGCACTTCCTCTTCCTTGCTTGAATTGTCATATGGTTTACAGGTACATGAGTCACCCCCCTCTGCACTGCATTAGCCTTTTAACACTGTGATTTGTTATCTTGACCTCTCTTCCCTCAAAGAATCACACAAGTAGATTATCACAAGGAAAAAGCCTTGAGTCCCCCTAAATCTAGGCGCGCGCGCACACACACACACACACACACACACACACACACACACACACAGAGTCTGATTCCGTTTATTTAAAGTTAAAAGCAAGCAAAATACATCTATACCTGCATAAGTCAGGAGAATAATTACTTTTGGATGGAAGGGAGGGGTAGTGAGTAGGAAGGACCATAACAGGGGAATCTAGGGTGCTGATAATAACATTTTATGTCTTTATCTGTGTTTGGATACAGAGGAATTCATTTTGTGGTAATTTGTTGAGCTAATTCTTCAGAATTTGTTTAGTTTCTTTTTTACATTTAGTAAAAAAAATAAAGCAACAACAAAATCAAATTCAAATAAAATCATTGTAATGATCGGTTTAGAAAGGACTAAAATGATTTCACTGTATTTCTCTTTCAGCACAGTTCCTGTAACTCTTCCCAGTTCACTTTGCCTTAACTCACCTGTGCATTCTTTAACAGGCCAGGGCTTTTGCTCTAGGCATTCTCTGGAATGCACTTCCAGGCACATGTGACTCAAGCCTTTGCCTGCATAATGCCTTCAGTGCAAACGTCCCTCACAGAGAGGTCTTCTGTGACCCCTCTTCCTCACTATCAACCTCCACCTACTACTGTAACCCACCTACTTGCCTTTGGATTTATTTTTCTCTATGACAATCACTATCTAGCATACCTTATAAATTTGTCTTATTTGTTTATTCTCTCCACTAGAATGTAAGCATCATGTACAAAAGGATTTTGGTCTGTTTTGTTCACTATTATGAACATTCTTGAAGACTGTTTGGCACAAAGTGGGCATCCAATGAAGTGAATGGACACATCTCTATTCTGTGCTCAAGATGTTAAGCTTCATTTTCTCTGAGTAAAGAGACAGGGCTTATTCAGTGGCCAGAGGACTCAAAGGGAATTCTTCCTCCCTTGCCTAACTCTTCCTTTAAGTTCTCTTGCTTTTACAGATTGCAGTGAGTAGGTTTTGTTGTGGCTGTTGTTTTGAGACAAGGTCTTACTGTGCAGCCCAGCCTCAAACTGACAATCTTCCTGCCTTAGCCTCCTGAGAACTAGGATTCCAGGCATGTGCTACCATGCCTGGGTATTGATTTATTCAAAAAGTCATTTATTCTGCTAGTCACCTAATTAAATGCTTATTCAGCAGGTAAAAATTTAGAAACCATGGCATCCAGACCACTTTTCTTGGTTTTGGATATGGAAAATACATATGATATAAGTATAAACAAGATACTGCTGGTTTGCTGGATTCACCATCAGATAAAGGAGCCTGGTCAGTAAGTGAGCAGCTATGGTGTGATGGGTTAGGCATTGACCTAGGATTAAGTTTGTCTCTACATTGTCCTTTTACCACAGTTGTGCCAGCTATGTTAAGTACATCTCTTTCTTTGTTATAATTATGTGGCTGTTTCCCTCCCTTTTTGATAAGTGAGAACAGGCATCATTCTTGTTTCTTGTGTATTCCCACTGCTTAGCACAGTTTCTAGTTAATAGATGGTAAATTAATGGAGGTATATGTTCTATAGGAACACAGATTATGAAAATGATGGACCACAAACTGCTGGGTTACCAGGGGAACTTTCCACAAGCTATGATGTTATACAAGGATTTTGAATAATAAGTGGGACTTTTCCATTGTTCAGTCATTTGTAATTTTCTAAGAATGTTCAGCTTTCTTTGCACTGATGTTACCATACCTGAAATGTTCTTC